CCACAGATGAATCCTGGAGTTGATTTTATTCTACGTAGCTACTGCTTAGGACATTTGCACTGGATGATCCGTGCTCAAGAAGTCAAAGAGTTTGCTAAGTCTCCTGATATAGTTATCCGAGAATTAGACCGGCATTCCGCTCTTTCCCTGGATGTCTCTGTTTATCTTGTCAGAGAAGCAAGCTAGAGGCATCCATTAAATGGATACCTAGCAAGCGCTTAGCCTGAGCTCAGAGAAAGAGACTGAATAGATTGGGTCAACAGCGATTGCACGGGCATTATAATACTGTAAGATTGTTTTTTATCCTTAAAAAATGCAGAGAATAATGATCCTAATCCTTTTTTCAGAATCGAGAAAGTGACTGACCACCTGGAAGCACTCATTGATCCATTTGACCTGGATGTTTTCACGCCACACCTCAACAGCAACCTCAATCGCCTGGTGCAGCGAACTTCTGTGAGTTGAGTCTCAAACATGCTCATTGTGACTTAAGTGCCACAGGCTCAAATTACAAAATTAACCTGCTGCTGCACTTACACTCCAGGAGGCAGCCTTAGGAGGGGGGTAAGACACAAATAGCTGTGTGTAGTTATAAGGGCTGAAAGAGGATTAGATAAAATCTCACATGCTGAGGCAAACATGATCTGACTCCTTAAGTTATAGATAAGGATTATTAAGGTTTTATCCAGGCCTCAGAAAGAAAAATAAAAGAACTATGTGACTGTGAGATTCTGACCTGCAGGGCAATGATAAAAAGTAATTTTGAAGCATTAATACGCTCAAAAGAACATTCCCCAAAACGATGGTTAGAACAGTGATTGATTGCTAACAGAGAAGTGACTTTCCCTGACCTGGACAGTGAAACCCCAGCATTTTATTGTGCTCCATTTCTTGTCTGTCAGGTTCTGTTTGGATTGGTTACTGGTACGGAGAGTCAGTTCAGCCCCCGGAGCAGTACATTCAACTCCCAAGAACCCCACAACATACTGCCACTGGCATCGAGTCAGATCAGGTAAATCAGCGGTCCCCAACCCTTCTGGCACCCAGGACTCGTTTCATAGAAGACAGTTTTTCCATGGGTCTGGGTGAAGGGGGCAGGGCAGAGTGAGCAATGGGGAGCGATGCTGCAGCTGGCTGCTTACCTCCTGCTTTGTGGCCACCTCCTGCTGTGCAAAGCCAGTTTCCTGTTTCATGGAAGACAGTTTTCCCACAGAGGGGCAGGAGGGGGCATACATGGCCCAGTTCCTAACAGGCCATGGACTAGGGGTTGGGGACCACAGAGGTAAGTGATTCTAAGAGGCTTTCACTGGGCCCTGAAGCTGCCCGTTTGTGCTACTGAAATTCTTTCCCCTTGTCTTGAGGTTTGGACTTCTCCCACTCAGCATGACAAGCACTCGAAGGGTGAAATCAACCAGCAGAAGCGTCGAAACAAAAGCCCAGGTTAGTGCCAACAGCAAGAGGTCCACCCCCTTGACCCTGTCCCCATCTCCCACCCAGCCACCAGATCAGCTCCCTTTCAAATAACTGATAAAGAACTGAGTGACAAAATGCACTAATGCTGCTTTTAATGGCGGCGCAATAGAGAATTACAAGGTCTTACTAGCTCAAGCTAATAGAAGTGTTAGAAGTAGCTCATTGACACTCCCAAGTAGCTTCATAATAGAAGTATTTCTCAGGCTGCCCAGGCTGTAGAAAATATACAGGACAGGGTGGAGATTCTCTCATATTTAGTAGGGTAAAAGTTAACTGCCAACCTGGCACTATGATTATACTTATTTGGAAAAAATTTGTTTTGTTCTGGTGATGGTTTCACCTTCCATGTCCTTTAGTTGGGTGGGTACTAGATAAAAGAAAATTTGCTTCCTTAAGTTTTATGTTTTCTTAATACACGTTTTGTTTCAGTAGGATGCCATCCGTTAAGCCTGCAGGAGTCCTTCTGGGTATTTCTGAATTGTGCTGTGACACGTGTTTGAGAGCTCAAACAGCTTGTCTTCTTACAGAATTCAGTTGTAGTTTGCTTGTTAGACAAAACATGAGCAGTGTATCCTTTCCGTATTCCCTGATATCAAACCCATGAAGATCCATCCACGGTCCTCATTATCTTCTTTTAAAATTTGGGAGATAGTAGTAAAACAAAGAAAAAGCTCTTGCAAAAACCACTCACTCCCTAAGCATGGGCCTGTGCTGTAACTTCCCCCAGAACACTGCGTTTCCACTTCAAGTGACTGGCCTTCCAATCCTACCCAGATCAGAGGAACAGAACATGGAAAGGAGGTGCATATATTTACCCTTTTCCTAGGACAGGCATTTTCAAATTCTAGTTCTGTCACGTAATAAAATCTTACGCTGTTCCCCATGTCCTCTTCAAATCATGAGAAACAACAAAGTTATCCGAGTAGAGCTTTCTGTGCTTCTAAGACCTGCTTGTGTGCCGTGTGGACTCCGAGTGGCATGGTGTGGCGTGTGAGCAGGCAGGAGGGCTCGGGGAGACTCTAAGGCACTTTCCTCTACATCCAATGGCAGGTTGTCCCCCCGGCACTCTCCAGAGCAGGTGACCCGATGCTTCCTGGCTCCTTGTTCAGACAGCTCGTCAGTGAGGAAGACGACACGTCTGCACCTTCATTATTCAAACTTGGCTGGCTCTCTAGTATGACTAAGTAGCATGGGAACATACCCCTCTCTCTAAATAAATACTACCACATTATTTCTTCTAAAGGTGCCCCTGCTCATTTGTTTCAAAGCCACACCAATCTATCCAGTTCCAATGATGGAATGTGGCCCCCTAGTTACTGTTAGGGGTTACTTTAAGCATAAAGTTAATCCTTGTCCAATAGTTTCACAATACTTGTTGCTTTAAACATCAGTTCAGATAGGTTACACTTTATCAGCATTCATCAATGCCTTAATTATTGACACTACAAGGTGGAGTTATCAGACATCAGGTAAGCTGCTGATTTAACAAGTTTGTGAGTAAGACAAAAAGTCATTACATATTTCTTCACTTTCCGAGCTGTGCAGTGTTTCCTACTAAAGTCTTAGGTCC